AATGTGATAAACTTACAAACAATTATACCTCAATTACTAAACACAAGGCTGGCATGTCCAGAGCTATACCCAACTCAACATTCTATAATCACAGAATATATATACTCAGAATACTATGGAATTTACAATATTAATACTATATAAACAAAATAATGCAACAAATAAATGACCTAGACCTATATAACTCATCACTATATATATGTATACAACAAATACAAAATGTGTCAAACACAAATACATCAATACTAGCTAACTCAACATATATACTTTCTATAATAGAACATAACACAACCACAGCTAAGAGGATCTAGATACTATATGATAACCACTTCGCAATAATAAACAATATCAGCAACTGGTCTAAGCCTCTTTTAAACAAAAGAAACAGTATAAACAAGATATTCACAGACCCAACACTATATACAAACAAAATTAGTGCCCAACAACTAAAAACCAAACCCAATCAGCACAAAATTAATTTCAATAAATAGTTAACAAACTCAAATAATACATAAACAATCAATTGAAAAGAAACATTACATGCAATATATAAAATACCAACAAGCGGAGAACTAGTATAGTTTAAAATAATTACAGCAATAATTGATATACAAATTCAGCAAACAAACTAGCTAATACTACAAACACCAAACTCATACATAATCAACAAAAAAGAAATAACTAAAAACAAATGGATAATAACACAAATAAAAAACTAAACTATAATTAGAAAAATAACAACAATATAAGACCATAACAAAATAAAATTAATATACTGGATATATACAAAAGATGGACACCAACCACAACAACTTATACAATACAACTAATGCAAGCTAACAACCACAACACACTATGACAAGTGTGCTATACAAACAACTTCAAAAAACTATAGCATAATACAAGTAAGCTATAATAAATATATATATAGCAATATAAAAGAGATACAAAAAGCACTGTAATATACACAACAATAAAACATTTTATAGCAGAATAAATAACATACTTTAACTCACTAAGCATCCAAGAAACTACTACCAATACTATAAATATGCAATAACATGTTTCTAGAAACCACAACCAACACAATATTAATTAAAATAGCAAAAGATATAATTATAAACAAAGTAACATATATAATAATAACAATACATAAACCCATATAAGTGCTGTACAGGGAAAACCTGTAAATAAAAATTGACACCAATTTTGACCCCAAATAGATGTATAATAGTATGACTAAACATGTTGCACAATCAGTATTCTGGTTGTTTTGATAGTATGTATTACCTTAATATTTTCATAGGATGCATTTACATCACTTCTCGAGGTAAATCAGTTTTGGATATAACTAATCATTAGACGTGACAAATAAAGACTAATTAATTAGATTTATAAAATAAATAAATAATTTTTATTTGTCATGCCTAATAATTGGTCATACCCTAGTTACAAATAAAAAAAAAGACTCAACTAATTAGCTGTGAATAAAAACAGCACAAGAAAAAAAAAAAATCTATCATATATATATTTAAATTATAAAGATTTATTCTGCGAAATGTACAAAAATTAAGTAAATAAAAAGATAAAAACAAGTATATTGACCAAAACATATACTTATATAAAGACTTAAACCCTTATTTTTGTGTTATTTAATTTTTTTATTTTAATTTTTATGAAATTTTCAATTATTTATTTAGATATTTTTTAACTTTTAATTTTTATTTATTTATATTTTATAATTTAATTTTTTTTGATTTTATTTATTTATTTATTTAAAAAAAATTTTTTATATATTAATCTATTATAGAAATATCGGAAGACTTGAAACTTTTTTTTGAAACCTTAAATTCAACTTCTTCTATAACAGATCTCAGCGAAATGGTGCATGATGAAAAAATAGACAAAAATTCTTCATCAGAATCAGAATCTAGTGATAAGAATGATACAAATGAAGAATTAGAAAGGAATCTAACAGCCACTAATAAATTAGTTAATAAACTAAAATTATGTTGTTCGTATGAGAAGAAGTGTAGTGATAAAGTTTTGCTGCATTTGTTATAATCTTTAGTATCAGAAAGTATTAAAATAAGCAAACAGCAATAATATTATTCAATGATAATATTTATGGCTTCATCTGATAAAAGACTACACAAACAAAAATGCCATACTAAATATCAACTGCCATTTTTTGGCAAAGTTTGTAGTTCCTTTTTTCGAACCTTTTGGATATGCAGTAGAGATGTTTTTTATCACCTTCGTAGATGAGTTTAAGAAGAAGAATCAATGCTTCTTCAACCTTATAGGAATACTGGCAATTCACCTGCTAACAAGTTATCCATTAAGACAATTAGTGAAGTAAAATCTTTCATTAAATTGGTTAAAAAACAATATAGTAAAGCATTGGCAGTTCAGAAGTATATACGAAAAAAGTGAATAGACAAATTACTATGTAGTATGAAAAGCATAATATTGATTTCTTCCATCTCACTATTCGTATAATCGCCTTTCTGTCTTTTATAATCTAATAAATCTGGATAAACCCATAAATCGTTAAATCTTTCGAAAAATCTAGAAAGATAATAATGAGCTTAACAAAATCATTATTAGAAAGCCATCTAAAGATATATGTGATGAGTGTATATTTTTTAAACATGCATTAAAAGAAAGAAGTGATATAGATGAAGAGCTTAATGAACAATTTACCATGCATATCCAAGATTATCATGCTATGAGAGAGGTCTATGAAAATTATATCCAAATAGCAAAAAAGAGTAATCAATCTTCATTTTGTGTATTTTCTTTTGACTTCACCCAAAATGTTAAACTGTCTCATAACCCTCAACAACCAGAAAATGGTACTTTTCATCATTGTTGAAGGTACACCAATTCGGACTAGTGGATGAAGGTACTGATCATCACTAGTATATACTTTATACTGAAAGAAAGACATTAAAAAGAGCAAACAAAGTCATGTCTATAGTGCATCTATTTCTCACTTTCACTGCAGGTAAGTAGAGTTGGATAGTTTATAACCTTTAAAATATAATTTAAAATATGACTTATAAAATTTCTTAATTTTACAGATGAAGCAAATAAAATTAGATTATGGGCAGATAATTGCAGCAAACAAAATAAAAATTTGTGTTTTTTATAGTATTTTCTTTGGGCTTGTCACATCTAAATGTTTCAAAAGATTGAATACTATTTTCAAATTAAAGGTTATACCCAAAATTCTGTCGATTATGAATTTGGTAATACAAAAAGAGAGTATACCAGATCAGAAATCTGGTGCATTGATCAGTTAGTTGATATAATAAATAGAAGCGTGAATAATAATATTTCTGTAAACTTGAAAGATCAAGTAAGACCATTCTGTGATTGGACTTCAGCTCTTAGCTCATTATATCATAAACCTACAGCTATTCAAAAATATTATTTTTTCCTGTTTAACTGTGAAGAATCTGGTATAATGAGAGCTAAAATCAAAGCTACTGATCTTTGAGATGAATTCCAATTACTAAAGCAAAATGTTTATATCAAAAGTTTAAACCCTGCTAAGCTTCCAATAAAAGGTCTTCTTGAAGAAAAACAGGTAAACCTTTGAAAAAATATTAGCCAATATTGTCTAATCGCTTTCTGTAACAATTTTTGTTCAAAGCCTGATGATGATATAATAAAAAGGGTTAGTATTCAAAAAAGAGCTTGTGAAAAAGAAATATAATAAAAACGAAAGATTAAAAAGAAAGAAATATAGCTAATAATATAATTAAAATTAATTAATATTAAATAAAGATAAAAGAAGCCACCTTTAATTATATTGTAAAAGTAAAAAACAGAAATTTTTATAAAGACCTCATAATACCATTTATGCTTATATCATATTTTAGTGATCTAGATTATATGTTTATATATATTGCATTATCAGTTATTGAAATGACTAAAACACTGATTGTATAATGTGTTTCAATCATATTATTAACAATTTTCAGGGATCAAAATTAGTATTAATTTTTATTTACAGGTTTTCCTGTGCAGTACTTATATACGGATTCATCTGAGAAATTTGCCAAACTAATATCAAACTAACTAACAAAATTACAAACTGGCTATCAAAAACCACAGCGATATTAACAGCAATCCTAATACTAATAGCTATTACACTAATCAAAACAACACTAAAAATATTTATAACAACAACCCATATCATCAATACATATCAACAATATAATACAATTAAACACAACAAAAAGAGCATCATAACAAAAAATCAACACTGACCATACTGAACCAATATTTTTACATTTATAGCAAGAAAAAATATTCAATTAGAACTAATATTAATACCAA